TTCATTTAAATGACAAAAAATTAGGTGTCTATTTACTTGTGACTACTCAGTGCATATAGTTTATATTAGTTAACATCTTAACTTTTAGAGGAATCTGTCAATATGGAATTCATAAACTTGATCTTACTAGCATACATGACTAGAACAGTAAAACACTAAAAACAAGTAAAAAACAAAATGGGACTGTCTGACAAAAACTTTTACATTTTTTGAATTAAAATCAATTTCAAAAAGGTATTTAGTTACCAAACACTGAAAGCCTTTCCTTGTTGAAATTCAACTCATGCTTTCAACAAGACATGTGACTAAAACTTTCCAAATGTCCTTTGCACACTGCAGAGCATATGCCACATTCATAATTCACCACTTTCCCTCTGTCCACATGATTTATTACACAAGCTTCGGGGAATTTTACACAAGCTCAGCATTTCTATATTAATTTAAATTTTATTGAAAATTGCAGTCATAATTAAATTTTTGTTTTGGGGAGGTTAGAGGAAAGGTATTTCAGAGACAAGTACCTGTTTGAAAATCATTTTAATTCTAAAAATGCAAAATTCAAATCAGTGAAATACTGAAAGCTAGAATATCTATATTGTAAAGGAGGTTGTAACCAATGAACATGATAAGAAACCTAAAAATATAAAACTACAAACTAGAGGTAGAAAGATAACAATATAAACTACAAAAAATATCTAACTGAGTCAGAGTAACAACCAGAACTGGATTCAAGGGAGAATTAGTAGAGAGATCCAACCTTGTAAAAAGATACAGTACACTCAGATAGAAGGCATTCTTCTCAGCAAGGAACCTCTTCACCAATGACAACTTTTAATTCAAGCAAAGGGGTCAGTTTTATGAGCATTAACAATGTATAAAACTTGTATAGCCAACAATGGGACACAGGCAATGGCATAAACAGGTAAGGGGAATATTAGGTTCTGCTGATGTAATGGAAGGTTCTTGGAGGAGCAGCCCAGACACATATGATGAAAGCCACTCAAGAGGCCATAGTCCCTCTTCATCCATGTTGAAAATGGCTAGTGAGTCACACAACTGGCCAGTTTAGTGGACACAAAGGAAAATGCCAAGAAAGGCCCAAGCAGTTTACAAGGAAGGGCTCAAATAAACGAGAACAGTACAGTGGGAACATCAAAACAGAAATAAATAAGAATAGAGCCACAGACGACCTCCATCATGGTTGGAGCTGAGGCACATGGAGGTGAGAAAGGTATCTGCAAAGGAATATATCAGCCACCAGATGGCACCTTCTGTCCACTTCCAAAGAGCAACACCCTCTCATGAGGATTCAGTATAAAATGCGGACAGAACATAAAGAGAGGTATAATTAACATGTGAGAGTCCCGACATTTGTTTTTAACATACATAGCTAGATAGATATAATCAAAAAGTTCTCAAACTCAGATACCCCCAAATGTTTTAACAGGGGAGTTGGGTAATATAAAAATATGCTGGTTGTTAAGACAAAAGCATAGGTTAAAGAACAATGAGAGTCGTGGCTGAATGAATCAATATAAATGCAGATCCCAAATACATAAGAAAGCCTGTATTAAATTATAATATTTTTCTTGCTTGATAGTGTATGTTTTCAATTCAAAATAATTCACAATTCCAAATATTCTATAAATAGGTAACAATGGATGTTTTGGCAGAAAATATACAAAAACTTACATAAGATGGATTCCTGGAAAATAATGACACAAGATACAATGATGTGATCATGATAAAAAAGCAACAACAAAATATGAGGATTTATCCCTATGTCTGCCTATAAGATGTCCCCTAAAGGGTAGGAACATCAGGAAAATAATGTGCAATGTACTGTAAAGGAAGGAGCTCACACATATATCACTTTTCTTCTGTAAGAATGTTTTATACCATTAAAAATTCCCCATCTAGTTGCCAATACTTGTTGTATGTGACTTCTATACGCTTACTGCTTGTATGTTCCACAGTTATTTCCATTACATAATGCATACAAACTTAGTAATAGTTCATTACAAAAAGTAATACATTAATCATTACATGCCTGGCTCATTAAAATCTCACAACACAAAAAGTTATTTACAAAAGTTTTGATTTTTAATATATTTACAGTTTAAATTTACAGTACCTACCACATGTACTTTAATCAAAATTAAACGTTTTTGAAGATACAGTAATTACAGCAAATTAATGTTGTAGTGGCTGCTTTTATTTATTCATTTTATTTAGTTATATTTAATTTAAATTTGCACCATTCGTAATGATTTTTTGAGAGTGTAATCAAAAAATGTTATTTTTTCACAGAGAAATTGTTTTCTTTTATGACGAAGGTAGAAATTTGGTGAATAAAGCTCTCTGAAGGAAGAGCCAGTGCTCCCAAGTTTTTTATACAAAAACTCTAATCTGACATTTTTTGACACATTAGGTAAGGTTAGTTTTAATAATAATAATTTATATACATATGTAGTAGTGCATTATCTGCGATATTGTAGAAAAAAGTTATTGATTTAAAAAGATCTAAATAAATACAGTATATTTTTCTACTTAAAAGTGTATCATAAGATTCTGATGTAATTGTTTGAATGCACTGTTAAAAAGCTCTTCTGACATAAACCTAAGCTTCCTGCTACTTTTTATAAGAATCATTATCATTCCTTTCACCATTAATTTTCTAAATCTTTAAGCCTATGTGCCATTTAAACCTTTAAGAATGGAAAACATTTACTGTGATGTAAACCAGTATTTTTAGTAATTTGTCATTTCTGTTCACACCATTTGAACCTACTGTTTCAGTGGTGCTTCAGGAGGTCTTGTCAGCTTGGTTGATTTAGATGAGGCCTAAGGCAGCTTATAAGGTAATTATAGGCTTTATTTTGCAATGTCCTTAAAGACCTGGTATTTACAAAAGAAAAAAAAAAAACCCTTTTC